CAATCTATCACCTATCCTGGAAAATGGCCCCTCACTCTCACAGGCCTCAGGGGGAAAGCCAATCCTTGCCTACAGACAACTCCCTAACCTCAAACAAATTATTTCCAGTAACCATGAAGTACACCTTCATCATAATCATTCAGGAACCCACCTCTGCAATGAGCCCAGATGCCAACTCTATCCACACATCTACACAAGCGATTTCATCATTGAACTCAACCACATCAGCCCTTTGTTGGTGTCTGCAGCCCTGTTTCTGGGCTTAGTTCTTAGCCCCTCTGATTAGCCTGAAGTCTGCCTCTGCCTTGACATAGAACAATGACCCCAAGTCTTTCTCCCTGGATCCTCTTTGTCTTTTGTATTTCCATGTTTTCCCAGGTCTCCAGTCAGGTCACTTTTTAAGTCCAGTCCCTTTCCAGGGTAATACAATCCAACAAATGGGTGGCTGTCTCCAGAGTCTTCAGCCTCATCTCTTGGCCTGTTTAAACTCCCAGTCCCGTTCCTGGGCTTTTAATACAACAGAGTCTTATTTCCTTGGGCTTAGGCAACTTCCCATGGCCAGTGGTGGGACCTGTGCCCACACACTACTCTGGGTCCCAAGCCAACAAACCTACAATAGTTTCTTTAATAGTTGCTGCTTCTTCATTCCTGAACTCAAGGTCTTCTCTCAGATCTCTTTGTCTTAAGAGTTTGTAATCATCCCTGGTCTTTTTTTACTCAGGATTCTCTCTCCCAGGCCTCTGTGCCTGTTGAGCTTCCCAGTGCTATCCCTGCTTGAGTAGGGTTTCTCACCAGTCTCTTTACCCATGGAGTTTCACAGTATTTTAGTCCTTTTCTCCTTTCTGGTCCCAGCCAGCAATTGACCTGCTCAGGCTCTGGCAACTCCTTTCTAATGGGGCTACTGAACTCTGACTGGGCACTTATCTGCAGATCTTCTAGGAAAACCTGGAGGACCTACCTTCACTGCTCTTTCGCTGGGACAGGGTATTGTAGGACCACAAGGCCTCCGGAAGAGGTCCTTAAAGGGCTCAGTACACCTGATAATAGCACCGCATTACAGAGCTTTCTTTGGGATAGGTAAGCTCTGATTCACCTCAATGCAGGCTACGCACTTCATGGGGCATTCTTACCTTCAGTGTGCCTGAACAACTGCCAATGGAAAACATATGCATGTTTAAAGAGGAGAGAAAAGACATGTTTGAGATTGCAATAACAGTCACTGATCTGGTCTCCTTTACATTTTATACAGAGAGAACTACATCAATTTTTAAGGTGGACTTTATCTAGCAATACATTTTAGAAAATGTGCACCTGTTTGTGTCTGTCCATGAGTCTATTTGTTCAAGAACTCCTACTAACAGTAAAAACTAGAACCACCAAATTTAGTATGTAGCTTCCTCTTATCTTAACTTAAAGCAAGGTCAGGGTTTGGTATGCCAGGAAAATGGGAAGTACTGGGAATGGGACTGTTTTCCACAACATGGAAAGATAGGAGCTCAGGGAGGAGGGATATGATGCTAAGAGTGGTCACTGGGGAAAGTGAGTGTAGGGGACAGCTATACTGCAGAGGGACCACTGGGGGCAGCCATACTACCAAGACAGTGGCCTGCTGGGGCTGGGGCTCACCATCAGACTGAGTAAGTAGCCCCCTGTCTCAAATCCCTTTCCCAGAGAGAAGGTCCCTGTCAGCCAGGAGGCTGGAGAAGAGAGAGAAGGCCCCTGACATCAGGGACTGGGGGGGACAAAAGGCCCCTGGCAGCTGGGCAGGGAGCTGCAGGGAGACAAAAGGCCCTTTCAGCTGGGATGTTCTGGGGGAGAGACAGAAGGTATGTGCCAGCTAGAGGGCTGCAAGGGGAGAGAAGTCCCCTACCAGCAAGAGAGGGGAAAGAAAGGTGGATGGTTCCCCCACCCTGAAACCTCACTCTTATACCTCCCTACATCTCCATCCCAAAGCCCCTTCTCAACTCCTCACCATGACTCCTGCACCCTCCATGTTCCCAGACTTCTGCCCTGCCCCCTCCCACCTTCATCCAAAGGCTTTACCATGACTTCTGCACCTCCCACACCATCCCCCCTTGCCCTGAAGGACCCAGGCAATGCTAGGTACATCTTCTAGTAAGAAATAATTAAACATGCAAGAGCAGAGTCAATGAAACTCAGCAATCATATTATTTTTTCAAGCACACCAACTCCTGCCTCATGATGCATAGCACATGTCACAACCTAATATTTCCCAGTAGAGCCCGTAACAGTGAGAACTATTGATTAAATGTTAACCCGGTGACTTTGGAAGTTGAGATTGTACAAAGTGCATCCTATTATCTGCAATGGTGATATGTCAAGAAAGACCAAAAATGTCAAACAGTTGCTTTAATATGAATTTTTATCCAAGTGTTCAAATTTAAATTAAGATAATTTGAGGTTTTTTCCATTGTGTTTATATTTATCTACACTAACATCAGGTATATCTATATGTAGTAGTAGTCAAATTAATCCCTATCTGATAAATAGTGTTACCCATGTGGTAGTAGTCAAATTTTGAGAATTGCAGCCATGTAAATATAAATATGCATGTTATTCATTATACAGATATGATAAAATACACATGTATATGGCCAGTTATTACTTATTTTAATTATTTAAATATCTCTGAATTGGTCATTTGCTCCTAGAATAATTGTATTTGTGCATGCAGATTAGATGCACAAATGAATGCATAGTATTCCATTTTATTCTTACTTAAACTGATGTAATTTATTTTACTCTGAATTTCATTTCTGGTCATTTTTCCTGAACCTCATCTTCCAGCTATTCTTTTTTTTTCTTTTTTTCCTAAATCCTTAGCATCTTAGCTGTAAAAGAAATTCATTATTTTCTTAGCTGTAAAAGAAATTCATATAGATGAATATTTATGAGGCAGAATTTTCTTTATCCAAAAAACATATATATAATCTCATTCAGAAAATGTTTTAGATTTTACAATATAAATATAATTGGCAAATTCAGAAATAGGCAATGTCCAAAAGTGTGATTCAGATAATAATCTGAGTCTCTGGAGCAAAACTCCATTGTGAAATATTCTGGGATAAATTCCTTGGAATGCTTTGCATGGCTGTGTGCTCTTTTCCTGATTGATACAAAAAGTGATTGCATTCAGAGCATCTTATAGGAAGCATGGTTTTTAATACAGATGGTCCTGAAGCAAAATCCAGGATCTATGAAACATTTAGATCTGAATCAAAATATTGTAGTTTGGATAAATCTTCAGTTTTTGTATTTTTCTTTATTGTTCAAGAAAATAATAGCCTGGCACTTAACGCTCAGATACTGGTTTCATCAGAGCTATCGGTACCAAGTTTCTGCCTCTCCAACTTCTCTCAAATTTGTCAATAGCATTCTTTAAGGAACACAATAATGATTTAATGTATAGTACAGTCTAGGCTTTAGTACAGTCTAGGCTTTTGCACAGAAGTGGCATGTGCAGCATCTGCCTTGAAATATTTGGAAGGCACTTAAAATGTCCTCAGTGACACACTCTCTTTGTAAAGGCCTCTATAAATCAAATTGCTCCATCACTTTATCTGCTAACCTATAAAAGAACTCTAAGAAAGTTCTTTGCAAGGTATAGTCAATTCCAACAACTGTCATGGCTTTCATTTGCTGTGAACAGTATAAGTAAGACTCAAGCAATGTACCAAATACGGTAGGAACATAAGAGAAGTCCTGCCACTTTTATAGAATGCATTACAGGGGAGTTCCGCTGTGGTGGACTTTATGGTCTTGTGATTTTATGCAGTGTGCCTTCGATTACTTGTTTTTTATCTGGATCTATTTAATCAATTACTTTAATTTACTTTCTGAGCTGCCTGCTAGTTATTGCGTGACAGCTTTTCAGTGCCTGCAAACTGTACATAACAATAATCGTTACAGAGAATAACTGTACCCTGAAGTGCTTTCTGAGCCTCTCTTCTTTTTGTTTATTATTAATTATTATTATTACTAATACTATTAGTAGTAGTAGAAGTAGTAAAATACTGGAGGAATGGCACAATAGTTGCAGGTGCTTTTTTGCTTTTATATGTGAACTATATCATTATTTCATTCCAAACTGAATTCGGATTATTGAATATTCAAAAAGATCCAATTTAATGAATGTTAAATGAATCAATTACTGGTAAATTTGAATGTGGAAACAATCTGAACCATCATAAAGAAGTGCACCTTGATGATTTCCTAGAGCTCAGGTCCACTAGTTGGTAAAACTAGCAACTCCTTCTCATCCCCAGTTTGAAGCAGAGGTTCCAGCCTGGCTCATGGCATATGAATATAGCATGGCCATTAGTGCTTGATTATGTCTGACCAGCTGCTGCCAGACCTCACTGTGCACACTCTTCTGACCACTCTTTGGTGAGCTCAGCATGTGCTTCTTTTGCACTTCCTGTCTTTTCTGCTGCTTTCTCATTTCTACTCTTCCTTTTGCTGTCATTTTCTCATCTGAAAGAAACCACAGAAAGAAAATCTTTCTTTGACTCTTCCCAACCTTCACACTTGAGAATTACTTCAATTGTTATACCAGTGCTTCAAGTGTAAATCTCAGGCCAGGTCTACACTGGGGGGCTGTGTCTAGACTACACCTCTCTGTGGACAGAGAGATGTAGATTAGGCACTTTGAAATTGCTAATGAAGCAGGGATTTAAATATCCTGTGCTTCATTAGCATAAATATGGCCGCCACTTTTTTTTTTTAAACGGAGCTTTTTTGAAAAAAAACAAACAAACCTGCAGTCTGGAGGCGGTTCTGTCGAAAAATAAACCCTTTTTTCAACAGATCTGTAAACCTCATTGGTTTCTCTCACCAATCGTTCTTCCCAACCATGGCTGTTTTTCCCCTAGTTAGGAGCTTACCTTGCCTTCCTAGGAAAGACCTTAGCTTGAGCAGGCTTCCTACCTACATTCCATTCATAGAAACTTCAATCTCCTTGCCTACGTTGAAGGACCCACCTTTCTCAGCTTGCAAAAGCTCTAGCTTCTTGTGTGTGTCCAGTGATGGAAGTCCAAGATTGTGTCTGGTTTTGACGTTACATTTCCAGTGTTCAAAGTCTTTGATTCAAGATGGTGATAGAAATGTAGCCGTGTTAGTCTGGTGTAGCTGAAACAAAAAACAGGACTATGTAGCACTTTAAAGACTAACAAGATGGTTTATTAGGTGATGAGCTTTCGTGGGCCAGACCCACTTCCTCAGATCAAATAGTGGAAGAAAATTGTCACAACCATATATACCAAAGGATACAATTAAAAAAAAGAACACATATGAAAAGGACAAATCAAATTTCAGAACAGAAGGGGAATGGGGAGGGGGAAAGGTAAATGTCTGTGAGAACTCATGCAGAGGAGCCAACAGACTCTGAGGACCATGGGCAAGCTGGGGTGTGGGTGTGAGGGGGGGGGCGGTCAGCTCCATGCTTCTGGAAGAGGTGGGACCTCAGGCAGAAGGGGCAGGACTAGGGGCAGCCAGCCCTCACTCAGTGCCACCCAGACTGTGGTGTGCCACGCCAGCCCTTAGAGTTTTTGGCCGCTGCTGCCACAGGCCCGTTTGAGTTGCAGCTACCCTCTTTTCCTCTTTCCTCCACCGTTGGCGGGTCTGAACTCATGTTGCTCTTTCCTTCCTATGGACCTCCCATCCCTTTGCTGATGTCTATTTAAATGGAGCTTCCATTGGTTTTGGTCACACTGTGCTTAATCTCACCAGAGACAAGTAAATAGTTGCCTTTGCTCCTGTCTGGGCAGGAATCTCTTTCATCCTGACTGACCAAAGACTTTAAAGCATAATATCATTAAGTATCCATATTTCCTCAGATAGTGTTAATACATACATTTCACAATAATATTAATCAGCAGTGTGCTATTAGCTTTCAGAAATAGCTCACTCTATGTGTTTTCATAATACAATAATACTGTGACTAGAACCGCATAGTTAAAAATGCCAGTATTACGGACTGACTGATCAACCACATTCCTCATTGGGAACTGTAGTTATACAATCAGGCAGCAGCAGATAAAAAAACCAAAAAGCACTGTACTCTGTTAAATGTAAACTATTAAAAAAGGGGGGAATGTTCAAAAATGATTTGGTAAGGTAAGGAAACTGTTTCTGTGCTTGTTTCATTTAAATTAAGATGGGTAACAGCAGCATTTTTCTTCTGTGTATTAAAGTTTTGAAACTGTGTTGTCAATGTTCAGTTGCAAACTTTAGAAAGATCAACCAGGATGTTTTGTCCAGAGTTATGAACAACGTTCATTCCCAAGGTTTTCATAATGCTGAGGTTCTAAATTGCCTCATACAAGCCATTGATTCAATTGGTTATAACTTGAGGTTCAGTTCCTTATCTCAATAGACTAGTACATCTTTGCAATGTATTCTTTGCGAAGTTGGGCCCAGACCAAGATTCTCTCTCCTGTTGGGTGTAAATGCCGTGCTGTCTTTTCTCCCATGTCTTTGCTTGATAACTTGGTTACCTGAAATATAAAAATGGACCTTCATTGTCTCTGCCTCATGATGGGGCTGGTTGAGGAAGCAAATACATATGCCCTTGTTTAAGGCACATCAGTTTTCAACATCCCCTGACAGGGCCATCCCTAGGAGACTGCAAGTCCCAGGAGATAGGTACTGAGTTTCTACTCTGCACCTCCCCAAGCTTTGCCCAGGCCCTGCCCCTGTTTACATTTTTCCCCAAGGCTCCAACACCATCTTGCTTCTTCCCACCCTTGAGCCATCCTCATCCCACCTCTTCCCTCACCTCTCCCCCCCCAGTTCTGACTGTCTTCTGAGCATCCTGTGCCCGTGCTCATCTTTTCTCCCCTCTAGCACTTCCCAATGCTGCACAACATCTGAACCGTGATGCTGGGAAGAAAGGGGTGGTACTGATTGGTGGGGCCCACCCACGGGCAGGAAGGCCAGGGGAAGGTTTTTGTAGGGGGGGCAGCCAGACGATGCTCAGTGCCTACCATTTTTTTTTCAGTTTACCTTGCTGCACCCCTGTCTGCCTCCTGCCTCACCTCCTTGCCTGATTTTGCCTGGGACAGTCTCATCAGTTTGCCATATCCAAGGGACAGCTCCAACCCCTGACATGTCTGTTTTAAACACACATAATAATTTGGGAATACATCCATAACTCTTAATACACACCACATACATACATCACACAGGAGTATTAATGAGCTATTAGATTTCAAATGATTCTTCTTAAGACACATTTTGTAAAAGACTATTACAGTAGTGTAGAGGGTGAGAATACCCGAGTGCTTAGGGTCACACCCAGCTTATTTTCTTGGGAACAGCAATAGAAGGTGAAAACTGGAGTGGACACAAAATGTAAGAATACTAGAAAGGGGAGATGAAAAAGTCAGCCTTAGAATACAAGAAATGTTGTGATCAGGGAACTGGGAGTCAGCCTCATTGGCTTTTTTCCTGAATCTGACTCAGTGACTGATCTTGGGCAAGTCAGTCTCTCTTAACTTCAGCTTCCCCATGTGTAATGCATAGGGTACTGTGATCACTGCTCTTCCTATTTTAGAGTGCCCACAAGAATGCTACCTGCTTCACAGACCCAAGCAAAGAGACAGGTCCCTGCCCTGAAGTGCTTGCAATTTAAAATCACAAGGGACACAATCAGGAAAGATGCTCCACCTCTAGGTGGGAGTGGTCAGTCTCCATCTCTCTATAGTGCAGGACACTGCTGCTGCCATTGCAAAGGTATCAATTTGCACCATATTTATGGCTGTGGTTTTATGGCATATGCTCTTTTAAATGGAACGGATAGGAACAGACTCACTTCACACAGACCACTAAATAGCTGACAGATGGTAATGACTTTTGGTCACAGGTGACCTAAAGGGGAAAGTCGACACATCTCATTATCCATCCCCTCAGCCATCCAAATATTTCTTCCCCCACCTCCTATGGCCTGAAAGAAAGATTTCTCATTTGTCATGTAGA